TGGAGGAGGACTAGCTGCCCTCCCAGGAACACTGTTTAGCACAACTCTAAGAGATGTGAAGACTGATTATCCAAAACTTGGAAATAGGCTGGGCACGGTGACTCACACCTGTAATCCTAGCGCTTTGGGAGACTGAGGCAAGAGGACTGCTTGAGCCTAGGAGCTCCAGACCAGCCTGGGCGACTAGCAAGACTGGTCTCTACAAAAATATTAAAAAATTAGTCGGGTGTGGTGGTGCACACTTGTAGTCCCAGCTACTCAAAAGGCTGAGGCAGAAGGATTACCTGAACCCAGAAGGTTGAGGCTGTAGTGAGCCATGATCGTGCCACTGTACTCCAGCCTGGGTGACAGAGTAAGACTCCAACTGAAAAAAAGAGAGAAAAAGAGAAGGAAGTCTAAGGGCGTCTTGGGCAACTAAGAATAACTAGCCCTCCCCCCATCAGAGGATATTTAATATCCAGGAAAATGCATTTTTGTTTGATTTTGCTATTGGCATTTAATTAAGGGCTTAGACTGAAATTGTATGTCAGCTTGTAGTTCTTACCCAGTAAAGATGCAAATAATTCCTGTCCAGTAGATAAGATAACCCCAAAGATTGTGCTTTTTTTTTTTTACACCCTGTAGGACAACAACCGGTTTTGTATCTAATCTAGGAATCTTAGTCTCTTATTCCTGTTTAAATGCCCATAATTACCCATTTCCTCAAAATTCTCTTTGGACCCATTGAACCATCTTACTTCTTTTTTTTGAGTTGGAGTCTCACTCTGTTGCCCAGGCTAGAATACAGTGGCATGCTCATGGCCACCGCAACCTTAACCTGCTGGGCTCAGGCGATCCTTCTGCCTCAGCCTTCCAAGTAGCTGGAACTGCAGGCATGCACCACCATGCCTGGCTAATTTTTTGATTTATTGTAGAGATAAGGTCTTGCCAAGTTGCCTGTGCTGGTTTCGAACCCATGGGCTCAGGCAATCCTCTCACCTCGGCCTCCCAAAGTGCTGGGATTAACTTCTTATTAATAAGTTAAAAGATCCTTGCCTGGGCTCGGTGGCTCAGCCTGTAATCCCAGCAATAAAAAAAAAATAGCCAGGCGTGGTAGTGTGTGTCTGTAGTTTCAGTTACTTGAAAGGCTGAGGCGGAAGGATCGCTGGAGCCGAGAAGGTCGATGCTGAGGTGACTGTGAGCGTTTGTGCCGCTGCACTCCAGCCTGGGAGGAGTGAGACTCCAACTCAAAAAAATGAAAAAAAAAAGATCCTTGACACATGTTCATTCTATATTTTTATGAGCCATGTTGTAAGTTTTCTGAAAATTATGCTTTGAGGGTGATAATGGTTATGTATTTTTTTCCCAAGTTAAAAATGATAGCTACTGCATTAAAAACAAAAACAAAACAACCCCATGTGTGTATCTTCTAGCATGTAAAGCGCTTTCTTTCTCACCTTTGGTCGTATTTTGACCTGGAATTTCAAGGTTGTTCTGTGAGGAAGTTGAGCTGGTGAGGTTCATGCCACTTAACCACTAAGGGACTCAGACCCAGGCTGAAAAGGGACATGGCCCCCAGGTCACCCACGCCTAAAGCGACAGAACCAAGATGGCGCCAGAGCAGCGCTGTTGTCATGGGCTCCCCCTCCTGTCTCCGCTTTCCACACCTGTTTGTCTTCGTGGAATCTGGTGAAAATGAACACCAAGAGCAGCCCGCAGATGGAAGGATACCCAGGTGGAGGTGGCTGGATGGGGGTGCTGAGTGGGCCCCTTTAGTTTCTCCTGACCCTGCCAACGGCAGTCCCTCCTCATGGGCAAGGGCTTCCCAATCCTGAATCCCCAGACCCCTAGGGGCCCTCTCTCAGTGTAGCACTAGAACCCAGAGCGATTCGCAACATTTCAGAAAGCTTAAGGGAGCTCGTACATCTCACCGTGACAGGCCTGCCGGACTAAATGAAATGTCATTTCTCTCCTTTTTGGCTGGAGTTCTGTCGGTGCAGTCTGGCTGCCCTGCTTATCTTGGGCTGATCAGGAGCCCTGATTGGACCTTCTGTGCGTCCTTGACAAATAAAAATGAGTGATTACTTAATAAATGCAATTGGTTTGGCAGATGCAGCCTTTCAGAGCATGGCTCTGTGGTGCTCAGAAGAGCTTCACAGAAGGGGTTCTCAGGGACACCGGGGTGGGGACTTGCTGGCCCATAAGGACTGGTTCGGCCGGGCCCCTTCCCAAGGAGATAGAAAACAGTGACCCCAGGCCCCCTGGCATCTCAGTCTGGGGCTGAGAACTTGACCTGGGGCAAGGTCCCACTCAATGCCAACAGGTACTGAGTACAGGAGTGTCTGTTTCACCCCAGAAACACGGCGGGGCTGGAGACCTGGTGTGGCAGGAGGGCATGGTGTCTGACACGTCTTCATCCTTAAAGGGATGCAGTGAGCCGGGCACAGTGGCTCAGGTCTGTAATCCCATCACTTTGGGAGGCTGCGGCGAGAGGATTGCCTGAGCCCAGGGGTTCAAGACTAGCCTGTGCAATTTGATGAGACCTTGTCTCTATGGTAAATCAGAAGAACTTAGCCGGGTGTGGTGGTGCGTGTCTGTAATTCTACTACATGGAAGACTGAAGTGGCCTGAGCCCAGCAGGTCAAGGCTGTGGTGGCCATGAACGTGTCACTGCAACTGCACTCCCACTTGGGCGATAGAGTAAGACTCCAACTCAAAAAAAAAAAAGGGTGTAATGAAAGCAAGTCTACTGACCTTCCAGGAGCAGTAGAAGGAGTCAGTAACAATGGGGCACTTATGAGAGGTCACCGGGGCACAGCACTGTGGCATCTCATTTACTTTCTCACTAACCCTCAAAACAGCACTGTTATTATTTCCATTCTGCTGAAGCTGGGCACATAAGCTACTTGTTGGAGGTCACAGAGCTCAACTGAGAAGGGCAGAGGTCAGGTTAGCTGGTGGACAGCGGTGCTTGCCAGAAGGCTGTGGAGTCTCTCAGCCAGTTGAGTCCTGGCTCGACCCTTTTCTAGCCCTGGGTAAGTTAAGTCTTGAGCCAGTTCCTTGTCTGCAAAATGAAGACCACATGTGTCCCTCCCTTCCCTTTGGGGACTGTTAATAAGGATATCAGCTGTTGGGACCAAGGTAGGCTCATTCTTGATGGTTTAATCTGGAGCCAGTTATAATTGATAGGGATTCAAAGTTGCTTAATGGGGTTCGAATGTGCATTGGAAGCATCCCAGAAAAACATGGAGAGATGTGGGTCTCGGTCGTGTTGAATGCAGTTCTTTAGTCGTGTGTTTGGCACCATTACAAGCACTGGCTATGCAGCAGAGCTGGTTTATGATATAGAAATGACACCTCGATAAAGCTGTTTAACACAACAGAGGTCCTAGCTGTCTTGGAATTTTATGATATTGGGCTAGATGGTCACTAATCAAATCATCACACAAATAGAGTGTTGGTACCATGAAGGAAAATCATGGTGTCCTGTGAGGGTGTGGGGAAGAGGAGCCTCATCTAGGAGGTCAGGGAAGGCTTCCCCTGGGAGGTGATGCTGGCCTGGGGTTGCAAGAGAGGGGGTGAGTGAGCCAGGCGAAGGGGAGATGGCAGGAGTGCTCCTGGCAGCGGGAATTGCATGTGCAAAGGTCCTGAGGTGGGGAAGCATGGAGTCCTTGGAGAAGAGAAAGTGAATGTGTCTGGAGTGTCAGTGTGAGATGAGGCCAGAGGGAGGCAGGGCCTGGCCATGTAGCACTTCTTTTGTAGACTGAGGAAAGGAGGTGAGTCTTCATTTAAGATCCTAATCCTGTGGTCCCCATGCCAGGGGCCCTGGCTCCTCCCCAGTGACTGGGATATGTTTGTTAGAGACGTGGGGTCCAGCCAAGGCTGAGAGGAATGCCAAGTGCTGCATGTGTCCAGGGGCTCAGCTCTCTGGGCTGAGCATTTCTTTGTCCCCTGGAAAGCTGCTGACAAACCCTCTGTGGGCCCAGCCTGGCTCTCTTCAGCAGCTGTTCCCTTGCTGGGACGAGGCTTTTAGCTTTAATAAAAAAGGGAGTAGAGATAAGAAGCCTGCCTCGCCAGGGAGGGCAGCAGTGACAGGATGATTTAAATGGCCTCTCTAGTGTCATTGCTTCTGTGCAGACATCATAAATCAGATTAGCATTGGGCTCTGGCGGGTGGGGCCTGGGAAGAGGCGAGAGGGGCCTGGAACCCTCAGGGCCATCCCAGAGGATGACAATTCTCAGCCCCAGCCCTGTTCTCTGGAGAAGGGGTCCCCCGACCCTGCAGCTTTGCAGCCTATTCTCAGCTATGGGGCAAATAGGAAGAAAGATAAGAGAGTAAGGGGTGGGGCGAGAGTGAGGGGCGGGTGTTGGGGGGGATGGAGGGACTGTTAGTAACTCCTCCCTTACCATGCATACCACCACCTTGGAACTTTTTAAAAAAACTCTTGATACCTGGCATCGCCCACCTGGTTTCTGAGTTCTGGGAGATTTTGATCTGTAACTAAAGTTAAGAGGGACCAGATTGGTGTGCTTAGTTTACATTTTTTTTTTTGAGTCAGGGTCTCACTCTGCTATCCAGGCTGGATATCTAGGCTGGAATGTAGTGGCACGATCATGGCTCACCGCAGCCTTGACCTCCAGGGTTCAGGCGATCTTCCCTCCTCAGCTTCATGAGTAGCTGGGACTACAGGCATGCGCCACCATGCCTGGCTAATTTATTTTATTCTCTTGTAGAGACCAGTTCTTGCTATGTTGCCTAGGTAGGTCTCGAACTCCTGGCCTCAAGCAGTCCTCCCACCTTGGCCTCCCAAAGTGCTGGAATTCACAGGCATGAGCCACCACCCCCAACCTTAGCTTCCATTTAAACTCAAGAAGTAGGCCATCGCAAATCATCCCTCTCACCACGACCGCTCAGGCCCATCCAGCCCCTCCAGCCTCTCCATGAAAGCGACCAGATTGAGTGGAAGCCCCTGAGACAGGTGTGTGTGGATGGGAGCTCCCACCCACCCCCTTCTCTTTCAGATCTCACGCCTCCTGGGCAAGATGTACAGTGAGATGATCTTCGTCCACGGCTTCGTGCACTGTGACCCCCACCCCGGCAATGTGCTGGTGCGGATGCGCCCAGGCACGGGCAAGGCAGAGGTCATCCTGCTGGACCATGGGCTTTACCAGGTAGGAGAGGCCTTTCCCACCAGCCCAGAACTGGGAGGTGGAGGGATGGTCGAGGCAGCTGCAGATCGCCCTGCCTGCCCCTCGGGGCTGTCATTTTGTCCCAGTCTCACTGTCACAGGGCTCTCTGAGTTTCCGCTTCCTCCTCAGCGAGCTGAGGTAGGCACCTGCCTCAGAGGCTGTTGTGAGGAGTGGATTAGAATTTGCCTGTAGGTGGCCCTGCCTTCCCAGGGGGCGCAGGCCAGCCCAGACCGGGCAAGTGAGCTGCCATGAGTGTGAGCTGGAACTTCAGGGACAGGGGTCGCTGCACTCCACTCCAGCCAGGATGTGGCCTGTACAACGGGAAGAAGGACGGGCAGCTGGCGGGGCTGGGTGATCTCAGATGCTGCCCTCCCAAAGCAGAGCTGGTTTGAGCGAGCCATGAGCTCTTGCCTGGAAGCTGGGGAGGGCCCTGTCTGTCTGGGACCCGGGGCCTGGCTTGACTCCATGAGGCAGATGGTCCTGGGCGAGGTTTCCCTGACAGGCTTCTGCTTCTTTCTGCAGGGCCCTGATCCCATGTCCTGAAAGCGGGGCCTCCTCTGAAAGGCTCCACGAAGTAGGATGTGGGGCTTAAGGTGGGCTAGCAGCTGTCACGTGTGGCCCCCAAGGGAATGATGGCGCAGACACAATAGAAGCTCACGTGCCAGCTCCCGCATCAGTCCTGGGTGGGAGGGAGAGTCCGCGGACTCTGCTCCCAGGCCTGGCTGGAGGTGGGGGTGCTGTCAGCCAGCAGTGGGGCAAGGGCTCGGAGAGTCACACGTGGGAACAGTTCTGTGGGCTGAGCCTAGAAGTGGAGCTTCTGTCATGGTCTGCGGGCCAGAGCTCAGGCAGGGGGCCACGTCTGACTTCCAGGGAGGCTGGAAGTAACCTGTGCCCAGGAAGAAGAGGAGGGTCTAGGCTTTGGTGGGCAGTTAGCCATCTCTGTCCCTCAAGACCAAGGCTCACCAAACAGCCACTTTGAGCTTGGACCTTCAAGGATGGCTGAGCTTTCAGGGAGAAGCAGACGTTGTAGGAAGGCGTGGTCTCAGTGACCCCTTTGCAGTGGTCAGTGTCAGCTGGAGACCTGGACCTCGGGTGGGGAGAGGAGGCTCAGGTCCCGCCGCTCCCGCCCCCACAGGTACTCACGGAGGAGTTCCGCCTGAACTACTGCCACCTCTGGCAGTCTCTGATCTGGACTGACATGAAGCAGGTGAAGGAGTACAGCCAGCGCCTGGGCGCCGGGGATCTCTACCCACTGTTCGCCTGCATGCTGACAGCCCGCTCATGGGACTCGGTCAACAGGGGCATCAGCCAAGCTCCAGTCACTGCCACTGAGGTAGGGGGCTCTGATGCAGGGGGCAGGGCTGGGGATGGCACGTGGACCCCTTCCAACTAGGGCCTGAGAGTCTAGCCTGGGAGGCTGGAGGGTGAGGAGGGGCAGAACTGGAGCCAGACTGGATGAGATGGAGTGACAGGGGACACAGAACCCTGGGTGGAAGGAGGGAAGGTGAGGGGCTCACTGCGTCCCCTGAGAGTAGGAACGAGGTCACGCTCCCTTGACAAACCAGCCTTCTGCAGCTTGGCGTCAACCAGCTCACACGAGATTCCAGGCATCCACCCTCAGGGACTGCCTCAACGTCTGGCAGCACTTGGCCTGTTGTGCCCTGCCGGCCTGTGGCTCCTGCAAGGCTCCCCTGGGGAGAGCCCTTCACTTCCAGGTGGCACTCAGGCTGGGCTACTCCTCTTGTCTCACAGCCTGTCTTGTCTTTACCTGTGGCTCGTGTCCCCCGGCACCTAGACAAGTGTCCCCAACTCCCCATACCCACCTCTGCACGTGACTGAAGCTTGCAGGGCAAGCTCGTGCTTCCTGGCCCAGGGTGGACTCCCCTCCAGGAGGCTTCTCCAGCCCCCACGGAATTCTCTCGTCTGTCAGTTTGCCAGACCCCCCCAGACTTATCCAAATCCATGTAGGGGATGGACTTGGGCTTCCACTCCACTGAGGCCCCTGCCCACCAAGGGACAGAGTTCTACATGTAGTCAGAGCCCTGGGCGCAGTTCAGCTCCTCCTCCTCCTGCTGTCGTGACCTTGGGTAGTTCTCATTGTCCTCTTTGAGCCTAAGGTAAGCTGCCCTCCCTGTCGGCTGCTGTGTGGTAGGTGGCTTTAGGAATGGCTATATCCAGCTTCTCAAACGATGTCCTCAAAGAGGCCATCTCTCATCATCTCTTGGTTCCACTCTCCTCCAAGTTGATGTCGTTCTCCAGGAAGTTTGGTGGCAAAGATGACCACCAGTTGCTCCGGGCCTCCACGTCTTTGAAGACTGTCATCTCAGAAGAAGATAGTCCCCCCTCCTTTGAAAAATAGGGCTGATGGGAATGGTAATTTCTGCTTTATTTATTTGTTTGAGTCAGGGGTCTCGCTCTGCTACCCAGACTAGAGTGCAGTGCAGTGGCACAATGACGCAGCCTCAACCTCCTGGGCTCAGATGATCCTTCTGTCTCAGCCTCCCGAGTAGCTGGGACTATACCTGCTGTCCACTATTAGCTGTCACCATGCCCAGCTAATTAAAAAAATTTTTTTTTTTTGTAGAGAAGGGTCTCACTATATTGCCTAGACTGGTCTTGAACTCCTGGGCTCAAACAGTCCTCCCACCTGGGCCTCCCAAAGTGCTAGGATTAATTTCTGCTTTATTGATGGTGCATGTAAAGTGCCTCTCATAGTTCTTGAAGTTCATTCACTCAGCAAACATTTGTTTTTGCCAGACTATGAGTTGGGATCTGCGGATACCATGATGAACAGGCAGACATGCCTTTCGTGTAATTTACACTCTGATTAAGGGAGATGAAAGAGTAAACAGGGAACAATCAGGCGAGTGAACTAACTGCAGGCTGAGGGTACCACGGAGGAAACAAGCAGGGTGCCGAGGTGAGGGGCGGCGTTCAGAGAAGACCCCACTGAGGAGTCAGCATTGAAGCTGAGGCCCAAAGGACAAGGAAGGCACCAGCCCCAGGAAGAGCCTGGAAGATGCCTCCTAGGCACGCTGAGGCCCAGGAATGAAAAGAGCTTAATGAAGTCCGGAGTGTGGTAAGGATGGAGGAATGAGAGGAGTTTAGAGCCAGAAGAGCACCGCATACGGCCTCAGCAGCCACGGAAACAAGTTTGGATTAATTCTCAGTGCAGAGTAAAGCCTTGGACAGGCTTTGAGCAGGAGAGGGGGTGCTCAGACTTGTTATATTTGTTTAAGTTGAGGTCTTGCTCTGTTGCCCAGTCCGGAGTTTAGTGGAATGATTGCTGCAGCCTCAACCTCCTGGGCGCAGGTAGTCCTTCCTTCTTAATCCCTTAAGTGGCCGGGACTGCAGGCCCATGCCACCACATCCAGCTAATCTTAAAATTTTTTTTTGTAGACATGGGGTCTCACTATGCTGCTCAGGCTGGGTGACTTGTTATTTTTTGTTTTTATTTTTTGAATTGGAGTCTCACTCTGTTGCCCAGGCTGGAGTGCAGTGGCACGCTCACGGCCATCCCAGTGTTGACCTGCTGGACTCTGGCGATCCTTCCGCCACAGCCTTCCAAGTAGTCGAAACTACTCGCCTGGCTAATTTTTGATTTATTGTAGAGACGAGGTCTTGCCAAGTTGCTTGGGCTGATCTTGAACCCATGGGCTCAGGCAATCCACTCGCCTCGATCTCCCAAAGTGCTGGGATTACAGGCTGAGCTACCGAGCCTGACTGACTTATTATTTTTAAGAGTCTCTCTAGTGGGCTGAAATGGGTGGTAGTGATCCTTGAGGAGGCTCAACCAGGCATCCAGGTTGGGAGACCTGGAGGCTCAGATGACACGGGGGACACCAGAGATGGACGGAAACAGGTGGGGCTGAGGGGAGGGAGATGAGGCTGAGACTGTGTGGAGGAGGCAGGTGGTACTATTCAGGATGCACTATGGGGTGGGGAGGGTGCCATTACCTGTCATAGGGAAGATGAGGAAGGGCACAGAGGTGGGGGTGGTTAGTAGTTGTCTTGAGCAGATAGAGATGTTGTGGGCAGTTAAGACGAGCTCGAAGAAGTCTGGGCTCAAGGTGGAAATCCTGGAGTCTCCACATATGGAGGATGGACGAGGTCACATGGCATGTTGCAGGGTCTCAGTGTATGATACCTGGTTTTACTAACTAGCTAGAACTTGCTTTTGGCATTCTCATTCATTCATAAAGAGCCCCTGCAAATGCCAGTCTTGGCCATAAGTCTCCAGGAAGCCTCTCCTCATCACCATTGCCAAAGTCATCCCTCAGTGTTGTGTTACTCAGGGGACAAGTTCCTCCTAGTCCTTATCTTTCTGCACATCCCAACTCTCACGCAGTGAATGCCTGGAGGGCAGGGACCTGGGCTTGTCCATCTTTTGATAAGGTCCCTGTCATCCTGGGACTTGATCTGGTGGAGGGGCATTTGGTGGCACTGGCTCCACCTGCTCACTTTGGACAACCCAGATGGAGGGTAACCTTAGCCCCTCTAGACCAGCTGCGCTGTGGGATCCACAGGCCCAGCCTTCCTGAGTCCTGCTCTTGATGAGAATTAGGGAACCTCCAACATTGCGTCTCAGAGAATGTTTCCCCCAACTGCAAGTGGCTTAAACAATAAGGAGTCTGTTCTCTGTATAAGTCGAAGCCTAGCGGCAGGTAGGAGGTCTAGGTGGGTCAACTCAGCAGATCAACTCTTGGGATTGTCTAGGCTTTCCATCACGGCTCCGAGATGGCTGTGACAGTACCAAGCTTGACATCTGCATTCAGCGGTGACCAGAGGCAGGAACATCATTTAAGAGCAAGAAAAAACCTTCCCCAGAGGTCCCCAACAGACTCATCCTCCTGTCTTACTGGCCAGATTGGGTCACATGTCCATGCCTAAACCCATCACTTGGCAAGGGGCTGAGAGCTCAGAGCCAGCCTTGGCTGAGATCAATCCAGATTCAGGGAGGGGCTCGGGCTCCAGCAGAGGATGACCCCCAAGGGGCCAAGTGAGCAAAACTGAGTGAAGGAGAATGGAGTGATGGCTGTTGGGTAGGCACACACAGACTCTACCAAGACACTTGCCGTCAGGATGTGTCTAAGCTTGGAGGCTGTCCTGCTCAAAGAGACGTCCTCGGGGCTTGGCCTGGGTAGATGATGGTGCTGAGGGGGACCAGGGCCAGGCCAGTTCCTTCCTTGTGGAGGGGGGTCCCCATGGTGAGGGGACCGGGTCCCACCATAACTCTCAAGCAGGGCGACCTGTGGCTGTGGCAGCAGACGCCTCTTAGTGTCTGGCTATATGTTGCGATGTTCCAGTCTGATAGCTCCTGCCTGAGAGACATTTCGAGCTTTGCAGCGACTTAGTTATCAGCAGAACACGTACTCCTGAAAGGATGGTGAGGTCTGTTTCTGCTGTGGAAAGCAGCTTGGGGAGAAGCCTTTGGCCGCACTCCTGGACCCCTCGTCGCTTTCTGGCACCAAGCGCTTTCCCAAACCTCGTCTCTCATGACCCTTGTGTTGCTGCTGGGAGGTGCGCACAGGGGTTACTGGCATCCCCAGCTTCTGGATGAGGACACTGAGTCGAATAAGATGAAGGGACTCACTCAGGGTCACGCAGCCCGGCTGTGAGGGGGAGAGGCAGTGTCGGCAGGTGGGGAGGGTCCGGGCTCGGGAGGTGGCCTGCCCGGGTTAGCCCCTGACTCACCACTTACTTGCTGTGGACCTTGGGCAGATTACTTAATGCCTCGGTGCTTCAGTTTCCTCATCTGAAATGGGGCTAACACACTCAGCCAGATAGGGTAGTAGGAAGGATTAAATAAGCGAAGACATGTGAGCACTGTCAGTGGTTGGCTCCCTTAGCAAATGGTCAGTGTGTGTTTCCTGTTACCGTCACCGCCATCATCACTGTTGTCATCATTGCCATCCTCACCGTCATCGTCACCATCATCGTCGTCTTCGTCACTTCTGTCACCATCGTCATCGTCGTCATTTTTCCGGAGACTGAAAAGGGCTCAGAGTCACGTTGTCACACTCAGGATTCTGGCTGGGGGCAGTTACCTGCCTAGAGCTGAGCAGAGGACAGGGACCGGGACAGGAGGGAAGGCAGACCCTACACTTACACACCAGGCAGGGCAAGGGCTGTGGAGATGACCAGCGAAGTGCTAGCCCTAGGTACTGCACCGGGGTCCTCGGGACCTTGGGGCCAGGCTGGTGGGTGCTGGATATGGGGCAGGGCTACAGGGCTTTGGCGTCGGATTGGGGTCAGGAAGCCAGGCCTGTGCCCTGAATTAACCTGGGCTTGGCTGGTGGGAGGTGGAGGCATGTGGGGGGCAGGGGCAGTTCTCAGCTGGCACCACTTCCAGGACTCCTCCTGGGCCCAACCTGAAGCTGGTGGTCAGTGGAGAAGCCTTAGAGAGTACCTGCCCCTCTCGATGTGTCCTGTGCTTGTCAGGAATTGGGCCGAGACATCCCCTCCAGGTTCTTCAGGCTACACAGCCCATCGTGCTAGACTTCTCTGCTTGTTTGATTATTCTCTGATGTTTTGTGGAGATGGGATCGTCCTATGTTTCCTAGGCTGGTCTCAAACTCCTGCCCTCAAGTCATCCTCCTGTCTCAGCCTCCCAAAATCCTGGGATTATAGGCGTGAACCAGCATCCCCAGCCCTAGACTCCCCTTTGGGGAGTGCTCCTGGCGATGCCGACAGCTGTGCCTGGAGCTCCCCCCTGGGGCTTCCTTGCAGCCCCTCCGGTCACAGGCTGCTGGACCCCTGGCCCCATGGCCCCACCGCCCACTCTGACCATCCATCGTTTCTCCCCACCGCTGCCTCAGGACTCAGAGATCCGCAACAACGCGGCCAACTACCTCCCTGAGATCAGCCAGCTCCTCAACCACGTGCCACGCCAGATGCTGCTCATCTTCAAAACCAACGACCTGCTGCGGGGCATCGAGGCTGCCCTGGGCACCCGCGCTAGCGCCAGCTCCTTCCTCAACATGTCACGCTGCTGCGTCAGGGCACTGGCTGAGTGAGTGCGGGCTCCCGGACCTGCCCCAGGGTCCCACGTGTGCCTCGGCTTCCCTCACCTGTCCGCAGGACCCTGCCTCAGCTTCCCAACCTCCAGCTCTCCCCGCGGGAAAAGTAAGGGGCAAAAAGCCGCTCCAGTCCCTTCGCCAATGCCTCGGCAGTGTTTTGGGTGGTCCTGGGACTGCCTGTACTTGTCCTGTGGTGGGTTCTGGGACCTCACCCTCCCAGTCCAGCTTTCCGGAGGGGGGGGGTCTTGCCCTCAGGAACGTGCACACTGTTTTCCAAGAGTCTCCGCCCCATCCAAGTGTCTCCTGGGCTTGGGATCAGGAAGCCCCGCTGGGTATTTCTCCTCTAATGGGTCTGGGACTCTGCGGACCAGTGTTCTTTTTCCTGCAGGTGAGACGGACTTAGGAGAGTGTGGCCAGCAGACCCTCTCGGGGTCTGATCTTTTCAGATGCCTCAGCATCTTTGGGTATTCATGAGGGAGAGAAGCGTGCTTCCTCAGGAAAGCATTTCCAGAGGAGTGAGCATTCTAGGTCCTGCAACTGAGGGGTTAACATGTCAGAAGGGCATGCTCTGGCTAAATGCTCTCTTGCCCAAAAGAGGGGGCCTGCACTGTGCTCAACTCCCAGTCCACCCATCCCAGACACGGGATGGGTCCCTCTGGAGAGCTGTCTAGGGGAGGGAGATTTGCCCACATATATCACGTGCCCACTACCAAATATCAAATTAGTTTACAACAAAATATACTGCACACGGAAAGGGATGACATGATTTATTCTTCCTCAGAGGGTTCTGGAAATGCAGTCTTGAATAGGTCATCATCATAAACACCAATTTTCATCATGTCCTTTTGTTGGCGAGGAAGGGATTGAGCTGGGCAGAATCTGTAATGGCCTCAGCCTCCCAGGACCACCTGACCAGGTTTCCAAGTGATTCTTATCCTCAGAAAGTTTGAGAAGACCTTGATTATATTTGAGTTTGGGGATTCTGGATTGCCATGTTTATTATAGTTTTGGGAAAAGAAACATTGGAATGTTCTACCCAGTGGGTGTGTCAGATCTCTGATGCCCTGTAAAACCACTATTTTTGCCTATCCTGTGTATGTGAACACTCCTTTGGAATATCTGAGTTCATCTGGCCCTGGCTTAGCCAGTGGTATGATCATGTAACCAAGAGTGGTCCCCAGGGGTAGACACCGTTGCAGCCATGAGTTCACTGCTTGGTTGGCCAAAGCTTGGTCAAAGAACCCTGAAGTTGTATGGAAGTCGATTTTGTGGGAGGGGAGTGTAGCTCTGAAGGGGCTGGAGAACAGGTTCTCTCTGCCTGCCGTGTCTCTCCCAAAGGAAGTCATGCCTCAGCAAGGTGGCTTGGCCTCTGGGGGCAGACTCTGCTGCCGCCATGAGTTCCCTGCTTGGTTGGCCACAGCCACCGTCTTCAGGGTTTCTACGTGACACAGAGCTAGTGAGTCTTCTTTCTTCTTCCTCCCAGGCACCAGAAGAAGAACACCTGCTCCTTCCTCAGCAGGACCCGGATCTCCCTCAGCGAGGCCTTCCACCTGTGTCAGATTGATCTGTACGAGCTCGTCCTGCGTGTGAAGAGCTTGAGGCTGGCCGGCTGGCTCTCGACTCTGCTTTGCTGGCTCTTTCCTGCTCCCCACTGAGGGGCCTTGCCAGTGCGGCCCTGGGCTGGTGTCTTAGCACTCCTCAGTCCCTCATCCTGTCTTCCCCAGTTGCCCACGTTGCCACATGGGGCCTGCAACCCTGAGGTCATTGTCATGGCACCATCGTCTTCCACTTTTGGAATTCCCACATGTCGCCCTTGTCTTGGGGCCCACAAGCGGGTGTGGAATAGATCTCGCTTCTTCTCCAAGGAGAAGACATGCAGCTTACTCTCCCACTCCTGGTATGATCCGTTAGGTTAGATGTCCCCCACTTCTGGTGACCCTTTCTGTTGTCAGGATGGGTCATGGGTGCCAAAGAGGGCTCCTTGAACTTGTACGGAAGTTGATTTTGTCAGAGGGGAATGTGGCTCTCATGGGACTAGAGAACAGGTTTTCTTCCTGCTTGTCCCTCCCCAGAGGAAGTCACACCCCAGTGAGATGGCTTGGCCTCTGGTGGCAGATTCTGTTGCAGCCGTGAGTTCACTGCCATCACAGTGACCCCTTGCTGTTTTCTGTACTGTGTTGCAATAAAAACCTCTTCAAGGTTGCAGGGTTTGTCCATCCTGACCCATCAGCACCCCCAGCTAACCCCAATCACATGCCCGTCCAGAATGTGCCTGTGGTCCCTACCGAAGGCTGTGGTTCCTCTGGGTTGCTGCTTCCTCAGGGCTGCCAGGGAGACGGAGGAAGCAGAAGGTCAGGGCTTGGCTGGTGGGAGCTGTATTCTAAGTTGGGAGCAACTCCACAGTGGCCATCTGGTAAGACTGAACCTGAACGCCAAGTCCAATGTGACCCTCTGCTTGGCTTTTTGCCTCTGTAATCCTTCCAACCTGCAGGGCCACTTCCCCTGTGGGACCGCTTCCTGCTTCTTGGTGACTCTGAGACCTTGGATGAAGAAGTTAGGAAGCCCAAGACCAAGGACTCAGGCTTAGCTGAAACTCTGGGCTTGGAATTCCCCAGCTCTTGCCTCATTTCCTGTGGCCTGGACACCTACCTGTTTCTACTCATTTTCTCCCAACTTAACCCTTTGGTTCTCACTCAGTGACCTGAGTTTCAGTTCTGGGATTCTACCTGGTCCACCTCGTCCTCTGGGGATATTAGTGCTGAGACCTTGGACACTGTGGCTAGAGTTCCACTCCGAAATCTGTGTCACTCATCTGAACTGTGTTCTACCCCATTGCCTGCTGCCACCACTGCCCTGCCTCCAGCTCGGTTCCCTGCTCCTGTTTCTGGGACATCCCCTGACTCCTGTGTCTGCATGGTCTCCAGCCCCCCAAAAGCCCCGATCCAGCCAGTCTCAACTTTGACTGGACAGATGCTTATTATACCTGAGTCTCCCTGATCTTACTTCCCCCCACTCACAAGAGCAGAAAACCCTGAATTTGAGCCTCATTTTCTGTTCTCCTTATTTGCACCACAAGCACATTTTTCAGTGACCAGAGACGACTCTCTATTCTTTTGTTTCCTAAAGAATTAATTGTTCTTAGTGACCAGTTGGATGCACCCAGGGACCCGAGGGAATAATTTGCCATATCTGTTATTAATCATGAGGGTGCATGCTGCATATTATATTTTATGGTGTCTTTTATAGCCACCAAAGTAAATATCAGTGTCCTTTCTGCTCAAGGTAATGGTTACTTGCTTTTCCATCTGGGTATAATGGTTGGCTTCCTGCTGCCCTGAGATCTAAAATAACAGCAGGGTGCCAATGGGCCCTGCACCCAGAATAGTTATCCAGGGAGAGCAGAGAGGCAGGAAGAGTTGGGCATACAGGGCAGTAAGAAGACAGGAGGGGAAGAGGTGGATGTTTATTGAGGCCATGTCAGGCTCTGGAAATATATCATTGAATTGTCTCATCAGCTCTATGAGGAAGGGGTCATTAGTCTTGTCTTACGGAGGTGGGAACCAAAGCTCAGAGAGGTTTACTAAATTGCCTGTGGTCTCACAGCTACTGAGTGGTGGCCTTTGCTCTGTTTTTTATTCCACCGTGCTGTAGCATTACTCTTGCTCCTTGGGCTATCTCCTGTGCCTAAGTTTGGTCTCAAGTGTCCTGATTTCAAAGGAAATTGGATTTCTAGGAGTGGAGTGGAGTAGGGGGAGGGAGTAGATGAGTAAAGGAGACGAAGAGTCCTGGAAGATGTGGACTGAGGAGTCCAGGTGTTCCCCAAGGCCTAAGACAGGAGGCACCTGGACCCTACTCTAATTCTGCAGTCCAGTTTTGATATGACCACTTGCAGTTAGAGCAGACACTCTGGGCTTAGGGGCATAGTTCCCCATCAGACTGTTCTCACTTCAGATACAAGCTACAGAATTGGGGGTCCCCAGACCACCTGTACTTCTGACCAACTGACTACAAATTTGCCCAGGAATTCAAGACCCCTTCAGGGTCTATAGTTTGCTAGAATGACTGAAAAAACTCAGGAAAGCACATACAAAGGGTGCCAAAAAAAGTATGTACATTTTTAGAAAGGAAAAAACTATTAAAATTGTAATACTCAATATGTACCAATAACAAAAGATGAATACAAGTCACATATGACTTCTACAATTACAAGAAGTGTTCAGAGTGGTTACCACCAGCATCTGGACATTTCTGATTATGGGGAACAAAAGTAATATATAGATAATGTCTCTTAAAATGTGTATACATTTTTGGCACCCCTATACTTGTGATTCAGTTTTATTATAAAGGATACAATTCAGAAACAGCCAAATGAAGAGACGTGGAGGGGCCGTCTGGGAGGTCCTAGATGCAGAGTTTCCATGTCCTCTCCCCATGGGATCAAGGGACATCACTCTTTTGGCATCACCCTTGGTCCAGAGTTTTTGTTGGGGTTTCATCACATGGGTGCGATTGATTGAATCATGACCACATGAATGAACTTTCCCTCCCTGTAGGAGGTTAGGTTGATTTCATCCTATCCAGAGTCATCTAGTTAGTATAAACTCAGGTGTGAGCCAAGAGGCACACCACGAATAATCAAAATTAACCAGTCACTCGGGAAATCCCAGGGATTTGTCAGGATGAAGATCAGACAAGTTGTGACACTGCAACCACTCTGGTGTGTTCTTTTGCTGTGCTTGGGCTGAGGTGTGCTATTATCGACTGGCTGCTGGTCTGGACTTTATGCTCAGGCTAGGACTCCATCATCTCTGGAGTCTGGATCCTCTGGAGAACCCTCTCTCCTGGTCTCTGTGGTTCAGTGATAGCTCAGGTGGGCTCCATCCTGATTCCCTCTCCTGAGGGACTTGCCGTGTGGGCTGGCCTTGATTTGAGTTTGGTGCTTTCCAGTAAAATCCTGCAACGTTTTCCTCCCAATGTCTGTTAGGAAGGCACGGCCAGCTTACTTTGAAGAGCGTTTTCTCTTTTGTATTTTTATTTTTTTTGATTTGTGATTCTCACTCCGTCACCCAGGCTGGAATGCAGTGGCATGCTTATGGCTACCACAGCCTCAACTTGCTGGGCTCAGGCGATCCTTCTGCCTCAGCCTTCCAAGTAACTGGAGCTGCAGGTGCCCGGCTAATTTTTTTTCTTTTAAAAAATTGTATTATAGAGATGAGGTCTCGCCAAGTTGCCCAGGCTGGTCTCAAACCCCTGGGCTCAGCCAATCCTCTCGCCTTGGACTCCCAAAGTGCTGGGGTTATAGGTGTGAGCCACCATGCCTGACCATTTTCTCTTTTAACACATTATTCTTCTTGTTTAATTTAGGTGTTGGCGCCTTGATTTAGGCAACATGGTAATTGCTCCCTCCTACTCTGCTGAGGGGGAGGGGAGAGGAATTCTGCCTTTGTGGTAGAGAGCCTCTCAGGAATGTGGCCAGCACACAGTGAGTGCAGATGTCCTGGCTCACGGTCGAGTGCTCGACGTGTGTGTAGACATTGAGAATCACAGCGTGCTTTGTTGTTTTCAGGGGTGTTGAAACCTATGTATTTAAAAAGCTACACACGCTCCCGCCCCCCATGAGGCACTGCCTTGCTCATCGGGTTAGCTCCTGCAGTGCCCGCCCACTCCCGAGGTCGGAGACGGTCTGTTCCAATATTTCAGGCTGCCTGGGGCCCTCCGGTCATGGGCAGGGCTGCCATAGTGTGCGCGTCTAACGACATCTCAGAAAACAAAAGCGGCTCCCAGGGGCACCCCAGCGAATCCTGGGGACATGGGAGGTTTGGAAGGACCCCTAGTGCAGGCGAATGTGAGAAGAGTCTCATGTGGAGCCATGCAGGTGGCACTTGGGTCCCAAGTGGGCAGGAGAAGAGCAACCCCGAGAAGCCTGGATCTGAGCTGGGCGCTGCTGATGGGCACGACCTGGACAGACGGTGACTGGAGTCACAGAGGGCAGCGTGTCCCTGGCAGCCTGCTCTGCTGGCACGTGCTGTTTCTTGGGCTGGGTCAGGAGGCCCGTATGACCAAGTGCCGCTGCTGCTGGTGACAGGCCAAAGGGCAGGAGGCCCAGCACCCCCAAGTCTTAAGTCTGCACACAGTTTGGTAAAAGAAAGTTTGGTAAAGAGTCATCTGTTCAGAAGGCCTCTCTTCTTTCCCTGCCTCTCACCCTGGCTGTCTCCTTTCCCTTTTATCTCCTTCCTCCCTGCTCCCTTCTCTCTCCTCCACACCTTCTCTCCTAGGAAGAAAATGAGGAGGAAGCATGCACAGGCTGGCTTGGTGCTCTGTCTTTCTCAAGGAAGGGTGGGCTCAGTCCTTGGAAGAGGAAGAACACTGAACTGTAGCTGCTGTATCCTGCTATCTGCCGGCAGTTCAGCCTGGCCTGGTGCCTTGGCTTCTGCAGACGCTGCCTGAGCCCTGCTGTCAGCAGGCCACCCTCCTAGCCAGCTCACCGTGTTCCTGGCTAGCACTGCTGGGCCAGGGAAGGCCCTTTGGGCAGTTCTGCCTTTGGCTTGCTGGTGGCAAAGTTCCTCTGATGTTTCTTTTTATTTTTCTCTCTCCTATGTGTGAGAGGAAAGGCAGGCCGTTTTTCTTCTTCAGAGCCAGGGTCTGGCTCTGTGACCCAGACTAGAGTGCCGTGGTGTGATTGCAGCTCACTGCAGCCACGACCTCCTGGGCTTAAGCGATCCTCCCAAGAATGGGCTCTGAAGATGGATGAGATGAGAGGTATTGGGCGTCCCTGACCCCTCCCACTTCAGCTTCCGAATCCTCATCCCCTCTCCCTGCATGTTCATGCTACAGCAGGGCTTCTCAGGCACCCAAGTATAAACGAAGAACCTGGGATCTTGCGAAAACACAGGTTCTGACTCAGAGGGCCCCTTGGGGTGGGGCCCAAGGTTCCGCTTCCCTAACAAGTTCCTAGCAGCTGCTGGTGCTGCAGGGCCACAGACCACACTTCGAGCTGCAAGGATCTGGTGGTGGTTCTGAAGGCATCCAAGACCAGCCGCACACACATCACCTGGTACTTGTAAATGCAGATTCTCAGGCCCCACTCCAGAATCACTGAATCAGAAACTCTAGGGTGGGGCCTCCACTCTGGGATTTTTTTGTTTTTGAGTTGGAGTCTCACTCTGTCACCCAGGCGGAAGTGCAGTAACACGATCATGGCTCAT